TCTATGATCGTCTCACTTTGACTGGTGCCTCCAATCTTTATCAGTTGTCAACAAAGACATCTGAGATGAAATCTTCGCTTCTTGCAAGCAACTTAAAATACACAAAACCTGTGTAATCCCACCAAATTGAAAGTACGAACGTTTTTGAGGCAATGAAACATCCAATGGGATTTAGGCTGGCTCTTCACGTCTAAACCATTATTATTTTCAATTAACTTCATCAGACAATCAAGGCATTACAACCTGTAATGATTCCGACTGATTAAGTTTGATTCGTGCTTTGTAAATAGTGGTTGTGTTAAGTGAATTTCTCACAACCCATACGAAATGTAAAGATGGGGCTTCTGAACGGGAAAAAAACATTCTGAGTTACTTCTAATATAATTTGTGATAACTTTAGCCTCTGTGCAACATTACTTTCTAACTAGGCACAAGTACTTTTCCACACATTACCAAATGTGCATAAGGTGCTGCACTATTTTGGTGCATGAGGATCCCTTTTGTGAGTTGACAAGTGCTTCTGATCCCAGTTTCATTATTTACCGAGATTAGACGTCGTAAATAATAATTTAAATTACCTTTTAAACTCATCACATTGACAGAGTGATCATTTGTTGAAGCAATTCAGCTCGTGGTTTGCTGTTTGCTGCTTAATCACGCTTGAACAAGGAACATTTTCAGCAAGTGCTGTAGAAGATCATGCGTTTCAAAAAAGTACCTCCATAAGCCCGAGATGTTTTTTTACAAACAAAAAATGGTTGTATTAAATGAATCTCCTTTAATTAATGAGGCTCTGATTGTGTCAATATTACCTGCAGGAGGTCGGTCTAAATGTTGATCAACGTTAGGTGCGAAATCCACAGAACGTAATTTTAAGCTAGTTTTGGCATGTGCGTTCTCTTAAACAATCAGCACCACATACCTCACGCGTCTCTTTGTTGAGAATGCTCGTTTTTGAAATCTATGTTAAAATTGGCTCTAAACTAACATGATGCAGACACGAGTGAGCCCAACTTGTTTCTTTAGTGAAGAAAAAGTGACGTCTGCCAAATGAGGAAAAAAAATCCACATTTTAACATCAGTTCATTAACACAATCGGATCGGTTTTCATGAAAACAGAATTTCTTTTTTGTCAACCTATGTCAAAAATTGGGCTTATTTGTTTACGGAAGCTTTTTGTATGGCAAAAGTTAACTTGTGAAGAGTTTGCCAAGTGTAAAATCTGTTGATCAAGCTTGTTTAAAATAAATAACGAATGGGGCTTACATCTTTTACGTGAAAGAGGCAATGCTAAATTTAAAGTCAGAACAGAAGCATAATAATTAAAAATGGCCATTGAACATGGCGAACACGCAAAAAACATCTAGCGCTTTGTTTGATCGTTTTTGCTCCATGTCAGCCGTCAAACGAACAAAATAATCTTTGTAACACACTTTAATGGGGCTGTTTGAAAACTCACCTCAGCGCGCATGAGACAGGTATCTCAGACTGCAAATAGCATTCTCAAGTCATCGCTTTGTCAATCACAGAAACAAACGTCATGTTGCGAAAAGCCAGGAGACATTCTAATGAACCACTCAACCCTCATTTTTGTTCCGCAATGGTTTTTGCTTTAAATATGATAGTGGTCCCTCTTCGACGACTTAATTTTAATTTGAAACATGGATTCGACAATAAGATCATTGGGAATTCCTGTCAGTCCAAACGAATGGCCTATAGTGAGCCCTCAGAGGACACGTGTGATCCGAAACGTGCTCAGACAGGCTTACGACAAGTTGACTTGAAACGGATGGTTTAAGGCGATGCATTTAAGAGTCACCTTTTTGGATATCGGAAGTTGTAAAGTCCATCGGTTCAAATTACCACGTTTTTATTATCCAAAACTATAGAAATTAAGATCTTTTTTTCGTAGTTATAATTCAAGAAATCGTTTTGCTCCATGAGAACTGTATGTGGACAGTTCTGATCACAAACTGAAACTGTCTATAGTATTTAACACTTAATGCGTCAACCCCAAATTGGAAGCATCAGGAACGTTTCAAAAGAAAAAACCTCACTTAACTCCATGAAAAATCTTACAAGTGTTACCTCAAACCACAATGAACGAACTAGGTTAAACCTACATCTTCATGTAATTTAGCTATCATTTATCAAAATTTGTAATAACAAATTCATTTCATTGTTCTTTTGATTTATTTGATTAACCTTGGCCACCACAGTAAGAGAATTCAGAAAACCAATAGGGCAAGGAGCCTTACAAACAATAAAGAGTATTTACGGGTTGCATCGAAACCAACTTAATGGCTGCAATTCTAGTTACTTCAGACAAGCATCGTGTTGACTGATGGTCTATATGGAAGAACAGTCCGATTAGTGAATCACAAACCGCTGTGCATACCCTTATCAAGCATCCTCGTTGAAAGCCCAAAAATGTCAGAAAAACATGACGGAATGAAGCATGTTTCAAGTTGACAATACCGTGGACAGGCGCGTAAATTCTTACCAAATATTCAAAACCCCTAATTCATCGTTTATTGACCGGAACCTTTTGCATATGACAGTTTCTAAAAATATAGCAAAATATTAACTTACAAATGTTCCTTGATTTTAATTTGCTTCAAGTACTACCATTATCTCATAAAAATTTTGTTTTAGGCCATGATTACAGAAAGTGAGATGGATAAAAGTGTCTTTGAAGCACCAAAGTACTTTCTTATTCATAAAAACACATTGGCGAGGAGTCACTAATTAGAACACCCCGCTTTCGTTTGACACGAAAGATAAGTGGAAATTGTGGTTTACATTACATAAGCATGTAGTATAGTTAAGTATACTAAACAATCACCGTAGAATTTAAGGCAGTCGACCCAAGAATAGGTTTCAAAACCTTCGTCATTGTCTACATTTACCAAACCAGTTTAACAAGTTTTAACGGAAATGTCAAATTGGAATGATTTTATTTGGGGCTGACTACCTCTAGAGTTTTCCATTAACGAAGCCTGGTTGGTATCACCTATTGCTTCAGTGCCACAATACCTTGGAGGTAATTCCTGCAATCAACTCTGGACCAACAAAGAGGCAGACGCTCCGCGCAAAGACCAGAATTTTGAAGTGGTACCGACAGATTTTAACAGTAATTTATCTATAATTGTATTTCTGTGATACAAGATAGACCAACAATCATGCGTAAGTTTTGCTCCATTTCTTAATCGTCAAAATGTACAATATTAACAATCCTTCTCTTTTCTAAAAGGCCAAAATAGGTTCGTGTCCTGTGAGGCTCAACACAAGACCAGATCTGGTCCCAAAAGGCCAGTTTTCCTTAAATAGCGGCGTATCACAACAAGACAGGTGGACACATCAATTTGTGTGCCATGATAATTAATAGAAGATCGGTTTTAGATCACTTATCTTGTGTAAATGTGTAAGTAGTCGCATGCCGAATGCCAAATAAGTTGCATCATGATTTGTGTTATGAAAACAAAGGAGTTTATTAAACCGTTGAAAAGGGTGTGCAAAAGTGAGACTGACTTCTAATGGGGATTTCTTAAAATATACAAGCTATTAATGAAGTAAGTGCTTTTGCAAAATAATCTTCCTTAAAATAAAGGACCAAGACAGCTTAAGGACCTTGGCTCGCTTTGTACAAGCGCGCCAGTGGAACAAAGGTGTGAGGTTGCCTGGTATAGGGAGTTACACTGTAGTATTCCACAAGTTGGTCAATGTTCATCAAAAGCATGGAACTGAAATAAGTTGACCATGATGCTCAATTCAAAATTGCTCAAAGTTCTTACTAGAAGGATAGCAAATGTTTCATACTCCTTGAACATTTACAAAAACCAGACCATCGTTTAGACCTTAACAAATAGAAATTCCAGAAGACTATTTTTTAAAAAAAGGGTTCCTTTTTATCGAAAAATAGTTGAGGATTGTTAGGTATTTTCGTTTCATTTGCAATAACATCAACAGATGGCTCTAGGGTAATCTCGAGCGACGACTTAGTTTCGTGGTGTACGCGAAGCGCGAGTGGCTCACACAGCAGTGGGCTCCAACATTATAAAAAATTCAAATAAGGCATCCAGTCGCGGTCTTCACAACTTGTTAATCAATTCTGGACAGAAGCGACCACATGATCTGAACTTGAAGTGAATCGTGATGACTCAAGCCCAATTACTCGGCCATCGCATCCTCCGACACACTGTCCCCCCCCGCCCCCCAATGGCACAACGCACCGGTCAACCATGCGGGAGCGTCTGCTCAAACACTGCTGTACGCGCGCCGCCCCTTCTACTCATTCCACTCGTCTGGCCGTACACCCATTCAGACTTTCACAAGTTCACCCAGACTGGATTACCAGCTCCCATTAGTCAGAAACGACGGCGTGTGCAACGTGGCGAGACAACTTGATTGAACCATCTCCGGTCTCATTGGATAGCGTAATTGAGCAAATACCGCTACTACCAGGTGTCGTTCAAGACCATACGCTGGGCCCCTTAACAAGAATACGAAAATGAATAATACCGGATCCGGCAGACTTTATTGCAGAAACGGATAGACCCGCACACCTGAACAGCTCCATCGGCTATTTATCAGAAGGCTAATAGAGATGACAGCAAAGCAGAATAAATCCACGGAACCTGTGGAGGCAGTTGACTAAACGATTAAGCCAGCTGTCCTAACTGCCCCAAACCATTAGACTACGACACTACAGTTTGCGCCCTTACCAAATCGTGAGGTAAACAGTCTGCAAGACGTGCGCACATACTTGTAGAAATAAACGCGTTATCTATGGTAGTACTTGTATTAATAGTATTAGAAGTAGTATCTAGGAGTGTTTGAGTGGCATGTTTAGTCAACATCATAGAAATGCATATAGTGGCGCGATTCGCGAGATGATAGACAGATTGTTTCGCTCCTTCCTGCTATCTTTTTCTGTACACCGAGCTAGTGACTGAAAGAGTGGCGTCTGTGGTAAAAAAGGGGACTATGTACAAGGGCGGTCATCTGGAAGCTGCGGGGGGCCTCTCAAGAACACTCGAATAGGGAGGCGGAGGCGGTTCGGGAGCCTCGCCTCCCCGACGGCTCTGTTGGTGCCGCTGTGCCGCAACCATCGCTGCGTTCAGAAGAGGCAGAAACTCTTTCATCCGTACAGCAGACGGGTAAGGCGGTGTGATTACGGGAGCAGGGTAATGGAGACTGATTGTTGAACTGGAATTCGAAGGCTCTTCTGAAATTGTGCTCAAACTGGCGTGCCGTGAAGCCCCCCTTAGAGCACTAGCAAACAGGTCGATAACTGTGGAGGCGGGCGGAGGTGTGCCGCTCCGCCTCAGAGAATCGCACAGTTGACGCATCGCCAAGTCCGCATCCTCCTCCTCCTCCCCCTCCTCCTCTTCCTCTGTCTCCCGGGAGCTCAAGAAGGAATTAAAATCAGCTGGGTCGTCTCGTGGGAGGCCTGAGGGCGGCAGTGGTGGTGACAGAGAACCAACCGAGGTCTCTAAGTTGGTGTGAGTGTGGACGGAGGGTGAAGGCAACAAAGTGTGCAGTGGAGAAGGGAACACTGGGTCGAGAGAGTAGCACACCGTCGGTAGAAGAACAAGACAATTGAAAAGACAGGCAAAAGAGATCATCCCAGTGAGACGGAAGAAGTGACTATAGAGAAAACAAACCAACAAACCATTAGGGCAAAAGTAAAACAAGAAAAGAGTAAACAATGGTCAGTCTAAAATGGGGTATCGTGCGTAATAAAATTGCCTTAAAGTAGTTAAAACGCAGGGCGTACGATATATTTAAATGATTCTCGCTTAACCGATTTGCCATTATTGCTTGTTGTAGAATGGTCTGTAGACGCCTTCTCTATAGAAAAAGGGACCTTTTCCTACTTTTTGTTACTACTACACTGTCAACTGCCGGACATGTAACCAAATTTAGCATAAACCAAGTCCTTATAACCCGGCGTTTTACACATGCTTCCTTTGAGGCTAAAAGATCTCAATTTGATCCAGTAAAATTAAAGGCTTTGGTGTAAAACTTTGCTAGCATTTGGTTTGAAATGTTATCGGGGGGGGGATGAGAACTGGACGACGAACACTTTAGAAACCCCAGAAGACAATTAGTTTAGGCAGCAGTAAATTAACGGAGCTTGCTGACTGAGCAGCTCCGTAGCAGAGGTAACTCATAACGAGAATACGCAAGTCGACAATGGAGCTACTCGGTTAGCAAGCTTGTGACACGGTTAAAACCAAAGCCACTGGAAGCCCATGGCTTGCTAAACACGGATGACATTGGAATAAAAGCCAGTATTCATGTGATATCCGAAAATAAGGCTACTTCCACATCGGGATATAAGTGCTGCAGCAACGTACTCGGCAATGAAGTCGACTCTCACGGCGGCTAACAACGCCACGGCCAGCACGAAGCTCACATTTACGTGCACAATTTGGCTGGTCTGATTCCGGAGGACAGCAAAGAGCTTCTTTACCCTCAGAGGAGGATCCGCCTCCTCCATCGTCTGCTGCCCCTCCTCCTCCTCCTCCGCCGCACCGGGGATTTTGCCTTGAACTCTGCGTACCCTATGGATGTTGTGCTGCGGTCCGTACCACCCGCATAGAATCCCAGAGGCCAACTTCGAACCTAATCCGAAAGACGTAAGTAGAAGTCCGCCAGAGATAGCGTTTAAGTCGAGACCGAGAATAAGGAAGCCCAGAAGACACGCAGAAACTGCACCACCGCCGCCCACACAAACTGCTAAGAGGGTGGCTACGGGGTTTGGCAGGAAAACGAAGCCAGCTACGAGGATGACGCCGAGCAAGATACCGCTGGCGGTACAGAAGTACTGCCAAAAGTCAAGATACTGCTCTGCCAAAGTGAAGGGAAGACCCGTGGGGAAAACGGGTACACCTTGCGATGTGGCCTGTTCGGTGAGAGCACGGACTTTCTGCAAGTAGAGTAGTACAGACAGGTTAGGCGTCCTGCTGTAAAAAACCGACCCGAGACCAGCCTTTCAAGGGGCACTTTATGGTTAACTGAATACTGCAACTCACCTTAACGAAATTTATTTGATCCGCAATGTCACCATAGCCCGTGGCGAAGAAGCTAGTCTGGACCATTTGAATAGGACGTGCGGGGCTGATGCTGTAGAGGTCGGCAGGCCCACCAGGCCGCCGTGGAAGGGTGATGCGACTTAGTTGGACCCCTGGGTCGGGAATGATGGTACAAGGAGGAGCTGTGTAGTTAAATGCGTCCAAAACTCTCCACGCGTGAAGGTACACCCGGAATGCGGATGGATCGATCGTGTGGTTACGTACCAAACGAGCCGTTCGGATCTGAAAGTAGATTTATTCCATAAGTGACAAGGAATTAAATCGCGTTGGCAAAGGAAAAGGACCTACTCTGTCCAAATCTATTCCGTTGTCGGTTTGAACGATCAGCAACAATCCGAGGACACCATTTTCACTAGCTTTTCGGGACCAGTTACCTTTATCAGTGATGTATTGGTTTTGGAAGTCCTCATCAAACGCTTTCTGAAGTCCTAACAACCAGTCACGCATCGAATCTAGCCAGATCCGTTCGCCTGTAAAGGAAACTCCTGGGATGCTAGCCACATCGAAGAATAGTTTACGAAGACGAGCCTGACTCCGGGCGAAATCGACACCGGGACCAAGAAGGGCACTTTCCTGCGGTAGAGTTGACTTTGCGTGACCGAAATCTTCTGCAGATATTTCATCTAACGGCATGGCATCGTTACCACGAGTAACCAGTTGGAAGTGAATCAGTCCAAATAGTTTACTCGACTTGTCCACAAACCCATGTTCTATGGCATCGGTAGGAGTTAAACTAAGAATACTGAGCCCCAATTTGAGGTGCATAGGTGATAAAACTGCAGCGGATATGAAGGGTGCAACGCCCAGTACAAAAACTGCAAGTCGCAGACAGAAGAAGCGCGACAGTGCCCTTGCAAGCTTATTTGCGAATCGGACGAGAATTGGGCCACTGTGATGGAGCCGTCGATACTGGCAAGAGCAGCATAGGCAGTCCAAAGGAATGACCCCAGGCTGTAAAGAAATCGGTGCAGTTAGAGAGTGGGAGGGAAGGGAAGACGGGGGGACCACATAGACGCAACTGTGCGAGCATTTAAAAAGGAGCGAATGTTCGGTGGCTAAGACGCGCAAGTCGACAGGCGCCAAGGCAGCAGGGGGAGTGTGAGAAACGGGGCCTGTGCTCGCATGCGCGTGCCCCGCCGCCACCGCCTCGTCCCACACAAGCTGATTCGCGAATGCAAAATTTTCACGATGAGCATAGTTTTTTTGTGTTCTAACTCAACCGTATGTCTCAAAAATAAACAACGTCTCCGAGGCGATGGCGGTAGTGCTAAGAGTGGGGCATCCGATCGCTCCGACTGAGAGACATACTATGCTAGTACTATCATTAACATTAGGAGCGGGTCTGTGTAAACAATGATGCCGTACGAGGTCAGATTTCCCATACGACTATCTCTACAGGCATATTACGAACCTGAGTTTAGGAAACACTGTGGGAGTTTCTACATTCATGTTGTGTACATCGCGCGAACTGCATAAGGGGAAACGAGAGCGAAAAACAGTCAGAAGGGAAGATAGGGTGAGTGCACAGGCGAAAGAATTTACATTTACATCGCCGGACTGCGCAGCCCGAAACGACGAGGGCGGTTTCTGCGTGGAAACGGACACCTTGACAGTGGCCACAGCGTTACTGCTGAGGCGAACTTTAGTTGAGGCGACCTCCACAACACGCATGGCGCTCTCGTCGGCGCTGGAAGCGGACACGAGAAACGGCGGTGAGGGAGTGTGTGCCATTGAGACTGGCTGCCTAAGACAACAGAGTACATCCATGCGGTGGCGTATCCGCCGCTTTGAGTCAAGTTTCAATAACACAGGAAACAGGATCAGTAAGGTGATGGCTTGAACTACAACGAGGATACCCGCCTGGAAGAAAAGAACACGAACAGTAGGATTTGCAAGACTTGTTACTGTGCAAGTTATCGGATGCAAAAGGGGTGGTTTTCTTACAACTAGCACAGCACAACCCAACAATCAACTAGAAAGGCTACGAGATAAACCATGCTGTACTTTTGTCAAATCTCTTGGAAATGATTTGCATCATGTTCCAAGGGTCGTGACGAAACAGAGTTTAGATTAGATCGGACAGATCGCTCGGACAAATTGAAGGGGGAACCCAACTTGTGTGTTATTCAAAAGTCGAGTCAAATGACAACGAATGACGTTTGGTCTTTAAAAATCAAAAAAAAATTATAAAATAACATTAGCGAGTGGCACTATAGATAACGATTGTGGGGGACAGTGTAGACATTACAAATTGGCGAATTAGGCTGATAAAAGTGCACGTACGACAATGAGCTTTCAATGGCATCAGAGATAGCAGCTTTTTTCAGTCAAATCAAATTAGCAATAAGATATTGATTGGTGCATAAAAATGAGCTTTTTTCGAATAGACAACACGCCATTCTTTCGTACATAAAGTAAACCCAAACTTCAGGGTAAGCAATCATTGATACTCGAGAAAACGACAATATTGTGGTTAGGCACATTTTTGTTGCATTAGGGCACAACAAACGTGCATTTTTTCCACTTTCTGGACGGCGAGTTCGCTACTTGGCAGAACTTTGCAATTAAAAAAAAATAACTTGGTTAAATTGACTGTTCAAATAATTATTGTCTATCAAACAAGCCAAAGATAAGTTGAACGTAGAGAAACCTAGGTAATGGAGGGTTCCCGTTAACTCAAACTTCCTCGGAAAGCGTCAAGCAAACCACTAAATACAAGCAGGCTGGTCGACGACTTCGCTACCAATGGCCAAATTCCGCTGTTTCCAATGTCTGCCCGTTATGACGGATGAGAAACGCGCTCTCTGTGTTGCTGTCGTCACTACCCCGGTTTTAATTGTGCCCATGAAGATGGCGTTACTAACTGTGCTTGACTGGCGCGTGCACAGAAAGCAGCCACACAGTCAATGCTTTGCGAACCAGCCAGGCCACATTTACTTGTGTCCTGCTTGGCAGAAGGCAGTCTTGTTGGCACCACAAAACACTATTGCTTGTGGAGGTGAACCCAGAAAAGCTAAGGATGCGTCAAGCAAAAGGATTGGAGGCCACCTCATTTTTTCATTGTTTTATGGAAATCTGTGAAACAAAGTCGACGGTTAACTCATGTTTGTGATTTCAAAAGGCATTAGGCGCGGGTAAGAGGGCACAGAGGCCTACCGCATGCTGCGGTGGGAGCAGGAACAGTCATTTATTTTCCGCGCCTACACAAAATAATACGCCTGTTGTGTGGGCGCGCGCGTGCATGGGCGTAGCTAAAACGACTATCACTACACGGCCATCACCCCTCCTCTCAGTTGTCTTTCGCCTGCCTCTGTGTGTACCTACAGCATGGAGACACGAACGGGCCTGTCAACCGGCAACACACGCGCGGTTGGACGATCCATTAACCGCTACGTGTACACGCTCTGTGGGTTCAGCTACCCCTTCCCGCTCTTAACTCGCTCACTCGACACGACCGCGTAGAAGTGTTAGCAAACACGTGTGGGCTGTGTTCGTACATGCATTACGCGATAAGCATGATTACGCAGCACCCATTCTAAAACAATTTCTATGGCAATGCAACTCTGCGGAAAATATGCCTCCACTTAAAAAGCAACCAGTTTTCTCACCGTTAACATTAAATCGAACGAAACCGAAACCCTGGTTCCTTCTCTCACGGTTGGTAAAGTACGAGTACAGACTGGAACACACACACACACACCCACAGCAGATTGTACATGGGTGCGTGTGTGTTTACAAAGTGAAACTCTGAGGTGAACTTCAGTTATACAGAACCTTCAAAAAACATGGGGAAAATTCCGGGTTTAGTCATGACGGCACGTAGAGGTTCATTTGGGGAGAGCTAAAACTCAAGACCATGAAGGTTTGCTCATGATAATCTAGGCTTACCGGCTGTTGGCACACAAAAGTCAGAATTAACATGTGAGAATAAGTTGCGACCGTTCAGAAAATACCCACATTACTTCCTAGGAGGTGTTTGATACCAACAGCGCTACACATTAGACGAGGAAATTCCTACATAAGTGCTGGAGAAACACGCGGCCCAGAGCCAAGTCGGAGCTACTGCTTGACCGGGGGCCAGGGGGGGGGACGGAGAATTTACCTGAAGGCAGAATTGTCGCATCACCGGTACTGGGAAGTAAGTGGCCGCAAAAAATGCGGAAGCAATCGAGAGAGCCGAAAAAACAAGCGAGGTCCCGTGTTCGGCCAATACATGTGTGGTCCATTGCAGGCCCTAAAACACAATCACGCATTGGAGGCAGAGAGGGAAAAAGTGGCATGAGAAAGTGAACGAGCAGCGCAGCACGATCCGCAAGGCACGCACACACACATACACACACAAGAGCGAGTGGCCCCATTGCGTCTGCGAGCGGCACACGCGTCGAAGTGGAGGGGGCAGGCAGGCGGGCGGGTGGGCGACGCACACAATTGTCGGTGCGCACATGCGGCAAGACCACACACAACAAGATCTAATGATGACGAGAACACTTGTGTTTGCACACACACACACACACGAGGACGTAAAATAGGTACACATACACAGACTGTACCGATGCGTTTACTGGATAGTTAGCGATTTGTGTGACACTTAACTAACACCCCGTACGGTCAATTTAGATTACCCATAACACTTTCAGTCGCGTGAAGAGGATTTAACCGCTTGCTGACCCATTAAGTTTACAACCACGGCCGGAGAATTCTAGAGGGCGGCTGGTGTCCGATGCTGACGATTTAAGGTAGTGCAATGCCTTAGGCACAGCTTGCTGAGCTCTCCTCACCTCATAGGAGCAGATAGGACTTGCGTATAAACAACATAGCTTTGCACGGTATGTTACGACCGACCGAATAAACGCGGACACCCTTCTACTAACGAGAATGGCGCACCAAGTAGCCTTTTGACTGACGGGGTTCACAACCTGGTCGATAAAAGACAAGTAGCTTGGGTACGACGATAGTAGCCACACAAGGATACACTGACACGCACGACGTGTGATCAAGGCGTCGATTAGTAAAGCAGTCACGTTTTCGCGTGCCATCCGTGCCCAGCAGCTTGCATAAACGTAGATCAGATTCCGCACCAGTGTGAATTTGGTACTGTTCTAGACGTGCGCCAATGACTCCCTCCTTGGTCGCGAACCCGCAGCTCGGGCAAATAGGAAAGTGAACCCTCTAGCACTCGCCACAGTGAGCAAAAGGCAAATTAACTGCCAACCGCTAAGAGACAGTGGCCTTTTCTCATTTTAGTATGTGAGCGTGCACGAGTGCACAAAAACGTAGGCGTCGCTTGTCAAGAAAAACGGCACAGATGTGCTCCGCTGCACCGTCGACAACTCCGTAGACGTCACCACATTAAACTTCCTTATGCGTCTCAATTAATCGCTGAACTTGCGGTCAAGTAGGCGCGCCCGCCGATGCACATGAGGAAGCATAACCAGCACCGCCCAAACACAATCGGTAACGGGTGTCTTTTCTACGCCATACACATTTTTGTCTCGTGAGATCGTTTTTGATCCACAAAAAACCATATTATCCAAATCCCCATATACACAAACGGGAGTATGGTAGAGAGAGAGAGAGTTAACGTTGAAGCGGCGCTGTCGGAAGAATTGACTCTGAACATCTTGAAACAGTGGAGCAAGTAGGGTTGGGTTGGCTGAACAGCCGATCGGATCTCGCCTGCCTCGGCAATCTCATTTACAGTGGTTTCTTGAGTAGTGCCTACCTACAAACCCCGCCGCCAGTTTCAGTGTTTAGGGCAGCCGACAACCAGCCCAACCAGTCATGGACAGCTGGTGAACATGAGGCGCAGGGAGTTAGCAATCACTACAGTCCTTGGGTCAAGACAATATAACTGGTCAAACACCAAAGTTGATTCGCTTAATTAAAAACAGGAGTCACCTTTTGATTGACTTCCGAGGATCGCGATAATACACAGGTATTGCAGGTAGTGAGAACGAACAGTCCCTCCATGCCCAAACCGAGAATTAGAAAAGGTAGAACCTACAAAATATTTCAGGCGAACTGAGTAATGGTAGAAGATTCTATAAGGAAAAGTTAACTGGCTGTTAGTTAATTTACCTGCGACATTTAAACCGTTTTAGCTATGTATGCAACCAATAAAGTAGTAAATTAAGTGCCTTTTCTTTAAAAAAATGGTTATGCGAAAGAACAGATCTCGAATGTCTCCTGTTCTAAACAGCACATGAACCTCAAATTTCACACAAAGCCGCAGGTTTTGCTAAAGGTGTCGGTGTGCATGATCAAGCCATAAGCTAATTGTGGACTAACTTCGAAGATTAAAAGAGGTAGATTCGTGAAGATGATTTACTAAATGGATAATAGAATCTGTAGTCGCAACACGTTAATTTTACCAATTACTTGAGTCGACAGCTTGAGGAAAAGGGCACTGTGAAATCAAACATCGTCTGAACAACAAAATGAACAGGCTACTTTACCTGAACGGAGAGGACGTTGAAAGGAATGCCGATGAGGGAGCAGATGCCGAGGCCAGCCACCAGAGCGAGGACAATGAGGCCCAACCCGGCAAGAGCGAGCCAACACTGGGAGCGAGAGGGCTCACGCCAGCAAAGCAGACACACCATTCCGTAAAGAAGCTAAAACAAAGAGGGATTCGTGAAGCGTGGTTGAACCGCTTATCACTATGGCGCCTTGTGTGTAATCGACTATGAAAACGCTCTATACATTTTTTACGATACTTTAGGCTGGTTCCTAATAAAACGCGCCAAATCGAATACAGTTTGAAGGGAATGTCCGAAACTTGTCCGACGTCAGGCAGGGGGTGACTCGAGAGTAGTTGTTTGTCTACCAACAATCCGAAGAGCCCAGCATTCAAAGCCACTAAGCAACTTCTTCTTCACTGAATACCTTCCGAGCTCACAAAACACAATGCCCTAGAAACCACCTTTGACGACCATGCAGGAGGAATCCAGGTACAGACAGAAGAAGCAGAAACGTAAAATCGGTAAGGCCCTATTTTTGCCTTCATCGAATTCAGGTCCAGCACATGACAACACCGCGTGGGGACGGTGCTGGCCGTAAATTATTACAAAGTAGACACTTAAAAGTAGTTTTGAGTTGCCAAAAGACGTTGTCGCACACAGTAATCGCCAGCCCTGTTGCGATACAAGCAAGAGAAATCACGTGCAAGACCAAAAGTTGAAAAGATGCAGACGAGTAAGGCACAGGTGGTGTTTACATAAAATATTCGAGGTAGTTAAAGTCCCTAAGTATGTGTGGTCGTCAAGCCGGGGTGTAGGACCCAGGACTTGCAGAAATATTAAAGAACATGGAGAAATTAAAGTGGAACTTGGAGATCGAACAATTAACGGTTTATTCTGGAGGTTCAACACCAACCCTGACTTACATAGATTCTTTAGTGCTCTCAACACCCGATTCCGAAATGTGCCAGTTGTGACGATAAAGACTGGATGATTCACACGCACAAATATCAGTACTGGACTACCACAAGGTTACCGAAATGTGAAATAGACATTCTAGCACGCATGCGTTTGAAAAGATCTCATACAGCTTCACTCGAATAAGAATTCGAGCACCCTGTTAGGCAAGTTTATTTTGATGTCAAATATAGCCTTGGGCCCTCGACTAAGCAGGCAACCATCGAGGCGATGACTGAAATGTGTTGACAAGCACGATGTGGTTGCATGTGAACAATTAGCGGCTGCCTAATCGAAGTCGGATTAGCCGAAATATTGCAAAACACGAAAATACACTACCACCAAATCAATGAGAAAACCCTCTGTGCAATGAGGCTGCTCTGCATGTGACTCGTATTAGGAGCAGAGGATTACGGGTCAATGAAAAACAAGCTAAATGACCTTAAGGTGGTAGTCACCAGCTCATGTAATGATTAGGAAACGTTGATCTTCTACTGGGACCGCAGTGCAGTGCTAGGCAAGAACATTACTCCCCCCAAGGTTGCCTTAAGGAAGCCACCACAAGTACTGATGTTACTGTTACTTCGTTGTTTCACAAAAACGAAACCCAATGAGTTTAGTGTTAAGTAGGCTAAGCCAAGTGGGCTTGTGTGGGTTCACACGAATGAAAACAAGTTGGCAATACATCCTATTTGAAAGAAAAGACATAAGTGCTCAACTTCTGATGAGATAATCCGAGGGTTCGGCGACTGTCGAAGGTTTGAGTAAACGCAAAGGACTGTGAAATTGAATGCTCACGTTCACCCTAATTACCACTCGTAGGCTCCCCAATTGTGCTTTATGATAGTGGGTGGCAATGTAGCACACAGCAGAAAGCAGCACCGACGCTTTACACCACTCAGAGCAGACCACCGAACTCCGAAGGGGTGGACGGGCGCGCGCGTTTGTGCACATGCTCCAAAGTGTGGATGTGGGTTACTGAGCGAATGCGTGTTGCCTACGCACACGAGCCCACTGCCGACGCGCTGGCAGTGGGTACTACCTGCACACGCTAATGACCGATGCGCCCGGCGATGCGTGGGTGCTCTCATGCGGTAGGTCGGGCACAATTGGGTGAGAAAACAACATGCAGTGCGCGCCTGCAGAACTCCAGGCTGCTTCGTTAGCTTTGTTCGTTGTCTGTTTCTGCCGCGAAGGGTAGTAACACGAAGGCGGCGTGAGAAAAACGAATGAAGCCATGCCTTTCATGTCTTGGCGACGAAAGTTCACAATGGCACCAACGGTTTCGAATGCGATCGCGAGAATCGTACGAGCGAATGAAGCGCGGCATGGTTTTTGGCGCTGAGATATGAAGGGGTGTGCGGAGATCACTGTAAATTTCTACCTCTTGAAAGACAGTGTGCACGACTAGTCGAAACTATCATCCACAAAGCTAACTTGCACCCAATGTGTTGCGGCTGTAAACAGGGCTCACTCAGGCGCAATCGCTGTTAATCCGCTACAAATGAATAATGTACCTTTGGGTAATCAATTCAACTGGTCGCCTCTAATCACTTCAAGGAATTCACTTTCCCACGCGAATTTTAACGCAATGTGTCTTCCCACTAAACAGGTCATGGTCACTTCCCAATTTTAGAAATTGGCAATTCATCTTCCGTGTAGTCCAGATAAGCATGGCTCCCACTGTGTCGGCACGCATTCTTCTGGTGGGGGCATAATCGGCCCAAGAAGGCGTCCGCAATGACCCACTTTCCAGCAAATTCCTACACAAATTCCCACCACGGTATGACTCAGTGCACATTTTGGGGTGCACAGGCGCAGGCCTTCAGACTATGTGAACGTGCGATTCCAAGCTAATTGATCGCAAGACATGATATGAACGCGAGGAACAGCTTGGCCCAATTGGGAGCTCCGGCCAAGCGGCTTCTTGCTAACACGTGGTAAACAATTTTAGTAGCAAACAAAACCTTTCAGGTGGTTAGGAACGCTTACGGGCACGTTGGACTGCAATGATGAGGCCCAAAACCATACCACGTTTTCAGGGTATGTCAAAAGGCTGTGTTTAGAGTTTAGCGAGTGACCATGGATCAGATGGCAGACCACGGCAATTACCAGGAAGCAGTAGCCAATGGAAAATTGATGCAAGAGCTAGTACGTGAATGATGAAAACGAACCATTAGTACGGCAGCTCCGGCAAGTTGCGCGAACCACACCCTGACGGTGCTTTGAGTAAGCATATCTCGGATGGAGTTGTCTGTGAATCCGTAGTACAGCCACCCCTGACTTGCTGAGATGGCCTTATTATGTACAAGGAGGAGGTGTTTGAGTCCGTTGCGCCACTGGTCGAGGACATTCTGTGCGTCGCGCAGATTCCAGGATTCGTGCTTATAGGGGTCATTATACAGCACCGTCCGATAGAGGTCCTGGGGAGAGCGGAGTAGGAGGAGAGATTGAAGAGCCGAGGCCTGAACCAATGGGCAGGTGCTATCACCGTGACAGGACACAGTGGATTGATTCCGGACGGAGTATTTCTGACCACCGAGGATCAAATCCCTGGGCCAGTGTAGAATATTGGCCGCGAAACTGGGACAGCCATTGGCAACAACATGGGCAACGTTCGGGGGCTAAGGTCACCATGAAAAGGAATCAAAATCGACAAGGTGTCTTTACCGCCAGCCGAATTAAGTAAAATCGGAAATAAGCCACATTTTTTTTAAAAAATATTAAGCCTTAAAACAGTTGCATATTCCGAAATGGAACTGGGAATTTTAAGGAAACGCTGACAGCTGAAGCCATAATAAAATACTCAACAGTGCGTGAGGCGTTCTGAGTAACCGCAAGCAATGACACTGAAAAGCGTGGACAACATTTCCTAATCACCAAATATGCAAGAGAATGCAATAATAAAACAATTGTTTACAGTTACACTACCGACAGAATTTTTGCTTGATTAGGTAGAGCCTGTGATTTGAGGTGTACCATAAGAAACCGTGTTATGATAAGTGTTTCGAAGTCAGTGATGTTCTGACAGAGAGTCAACCTGGGGAAGATTTTAGTCATCCGAACAAGCACCCTTTTTCCAGACTCAGAGTACGATCCAATTAACCTACCTGGCCTTTGTGGTTGGGCGCGAGACTGGGACATTCCAAGTCATGGGGGTCCAGACAAGGCCGAGTGAGGTAGCCGTGGCTCATGCCGGCTCTACTGAGCAAATCTGTCACCTCGTCCAGGTAAGTCAAATCCGAAGAGTGATTTCCACACTCCGCCTGAAAGTTTGTGAGCAGTTGCTGGGGATTTAGGGTCGGCCACCGGAGCGTGTACTGTTTGCTGAGCCTACGAGCAAACGTAAAAACGACAATTGTTAGGAATCCAAGCTAAGACAGAAAGCCACAGAAAAGTACAATGAACCTCTCACCCTAATGGCATTCAAACTACTTCATTTTGGGGAAACGGCCTAGTCACCATGGTCTTAAATTCATGTCGCCTCAACCAGCAAAGTTTTAAGAAACAAGGAATAACCAGATGTGGAAAAAAATTGGGTTTGTGAGATGACTGTTGCTTGAAAGCTTAACAATACCGATGGTGTTGAAGTACATCTATGCGATAAGTGACCAAAATAAACTACTGCCCTTAATTGTACTGAGAACACAAACCTTCAGCACGCAACGCCAGCATCGTAAAATGTCCTGAAAGTGAATTGCGCTTCAAAGCGAGGTTTTCGTTTGCAATCGCAACGAGAGTGGGAGCTACGGCAGGAAGGTAGACACCAATGTGAACACAAACGTGAGGGTTACACGACTCGGTGGACGTCCCGGCTGTAATTAGTCATTATCCAAAACACACAAAACCACCTCGTGGTTTGCCACTTCACTATTGAAAAAATACGGGACACAACTTGTCAAATGTTGAGTCACAGAAAGTAACTGCGAGCCTACAGCCCACTCAGACGTGTGGGCATTTAAGATAGGTTTGCATGAATGAGGACACATGAGTACTATCTACTGCGGCTATTCATACACACAAACATGCATAACCCAATAGAGAGTGCGGTGGTGGCGATAATAACGGCGTAAAGGTCACGGCATTAACAGCAAATGGATATTATCAGTTTGCGCAGATGGGCTTGCCAGACCACGTGCGTGCACATGATCAAACTCCCCCGAAACACCAGTGGCTATCTGCTTGCGGAAAGACCATCAACACAGGTAGCAATTACGCAAAACGCATGCAGTGGTTTAAATACTATAGCTAAGCAAATTTGAGAATATAGCCCAAGTAATCCCAGTTTCTTCTTGCAGACAGAACCGCCAGAAAGGACAACAACGACGAAAACGGGTGCGCGAGAGCCAAACAAGTAAGCATACGGGTGCCGTCCTGCAGATGAGGTACCCTAGTGCTAGATATGCCAAGGCTCTTCACAGTTTCAAGAAAACTTACAAAAGAGCTCACGCTTGTCAACCATTGGATGACACTGGTTAAAGGGTAATAGCCGAATTTTCGAAAAAAACATGCTACTGTAAATTTTACAAAAAAACGACAAGAGCCCATTAAGTTTGTGCAAAAATTTGAGATTGTTTGCACACAGAGACGATTATGAAGCTTGAGTACTCTTCTGCAAGGCGAATGTGAGAACGCGAAAGCGGTCAGATGTTAGTCATAAGCATGTGTCAGGACAGTCGGATCAAAGCATCCAATCCGAATTACAAGACACTTATTAATTGATAAGTTACAACGTCGAATAGTGGCAAAGACACAAATATCGGTCTGAAAGTATTTGAGTGCTAAGTGGGAAGTTCTAAGGAAATAAACCCGACGATGGCCGAGGGTTTATTTTCGTGAGACAAGATTCCTGATTATGTGATATAAACGGCAATTTAACATCTCCCTCATGGAAGAAAGTACAATGAAGTCGAGATTCAATTTCCCTAGCCGCGACGACGAAGTTTAAAAGCCACGAAGCGTAGCCTTTTTCTAGATTAGCTTAAAAGCCGACTCATATTGGTGGATTTATGGACCAAACTTGGCAGAGGGAAAGGGAACACAAAGTCAGCACACGAGCCTCATGTAATGAAGCTAGTCGAAATGTGTGAAGGAAAAACCCCGAACGCCGCCAAAAATGGCTCTAAGTCCCGTAGAGGTCGTTGTTTTTGTCTCACGACCGCATCGCAAAATTGTAAACTAGTGCTTTAAAAAGCTATTTGTATCAATATTTCGATTTTTATGGACTAGGAGCAAATCCATAAATTTGGCGATTGTCAACCATTAGCGAGCAGGCCAGTGGATTGAAGCAACTAGAGTTAAGGCCGAAATAAAAAATAATCGAGATACCACAAGAAGCAATATCGGTGGTCACGGTGTACTATAGCTCCGCGACAGTCCGGGAGGTGATGGTACAAAACTAACGAAAATCAACGTTAATCGAAATTCACGCGAAGCTAGTGCAACGGCATAAAGGTGACTTCACTCCACCTAACTTCTAAGGAACAGCAGTACTCTTAGACAGTGGGCTTAGAGTATGGGAGAAGGGCAATAGTGAAAAAGTGACAATTAAGGAAAGCATTCCTGTGACAGAGTAGAGGCAATAGGTGCTTTTCAATGAAGTGCAATAAACGATACGGGAAGGTAAAGACGAAGAGTGGTTTGAGGCATTACTAGCTGGTGAGGTACGAATCTAATGGGGGCTTGGGGGTTAGGCAAATGCGCAGCCTACACTACATGAAATAGGTGTTGACAACTTATACCACCATCGCAGCATGAGGCTACGTCAACATGACCAGTTAAAAACAGGCGGAATGAGTTTCAGGGGGAAATGACTTCAAAGTGGCGGGATGAAGAAAAAGCCCGAAGGCATGTCCTATAATATGATGAAGAGGTGCAAGGAAATGGGGGAACGGTGCGGCCAAATTTTTCATCTACCTCACCATAATTCACTGAGGATGTGCACTTTTAGCCACAAGAGGCTCTGCATGGGATCTGAACGCAGCCCTTAACAAGGATAACTCCACAGGCGGTAAACTAGACAAAATAGACGGACGGGCTGGGCAGAGGCGGGATCGATAGGCACCACGGCGGCAGAAAATGCGCCGCGTGTGTTTTGCGTGTGCTGCCTGGGTGAATATGCTGCCGTATCAGCTGCTTCTGCTGCAAATGCGGCACAACGAGGTGGCAATGTAGGGGCCGCGTGGTAGGTATCGTGCACGCGCACACACGGACGCACAATACGAGCCATTGTGTGAGAGTTATTTCAGTTGTGCAGGCGTAAGCATTGGAAACAGGAGCGCGAGCGCACACAGCACAACGGCCAGTGCACATTCTAGCTCGTGGCTGCCATGGCAGCACAGACCAATACCATCAGCAGGTTGGACGCCTTACACATTCGCACATGTGGCGACGGGTCGGCAATCATACGGACTCAAATCTGGCCGACGTTTGTCCATTTGCGGCGGCACCCCAGACACCTACGCACAACAATGATGCATGAGCACGCGTGCCCGTTAGCAGCGTCGGCTGCTACAACGGCGACGATAGTTGCCATTGGAAACGCACACCTATACACACTTAAAGCAACGGTGACTAAGTTCCATCTTACGTAACTAATGTTCATGGATTAAACATCAATTTTGGTGAGAAGGAGGCGATAATTCAGGTTTCCCTGCACAGCACCTACTAACATAAACTAAACGTGTTGAGTCACTTTAATCAAAGTGTGGCTGAATGATTAATTGGCAGGGCTTAGAACCCCAGTAACTAAGTCTCTGAAGCAGGGCTTTCGCAAGTGTAGTACCTGCTTCAAGTTGGAGAGTAAAGAGTGGCTAACGACTAGTAGCAAACAGAACAAAAGTTTAGATGTGTTAGCTGCTAAAACGAAGTCAAAGTTACCATGACGTTTTTCCAAGAAACAGACAGCCAGTTCCAAAGCTTTCTTTGCAAGCTTGCCCACACTTGAATTCACGGAATTTCGGAAAAGATGTGGTAAAAACCAGTCAATAAAAAAGTACCAGTCGTAAATAAAAAAAGCTGCTTTTACGAGGGTCGGCCTCAGTTTTTAATAGCGAGAAAAACGGGAATTCCCACAGTAATTAGGATTAAAGCCACGGTAATAAAAATCTCAACCCTAGGGCCTTGGCGACACGAACCCAATTTTTTTGTCAAAATCGCGAAAACATCACTTGTGCCACCAGGGCATGTGGCTAGCCTTGCAAACCAGACTATCTAAGAGGGTGGGTAGATTTGATGCGCGAAAGCTACACGTGCCGTACCGTAGATGTTAAGAATCACTCATGTAAAAAAATTAACAAAAAACCAGCACACCAAATCAAAAGGCTCAAACGTAAGTTTACGAGGTGACAGTCGCTGAGCTAAAAAATGGAGGCAAACTAATGAAAATTATGAAGTGGAACAAGTTGCCGTCACATACACGCTATTAATTACTGTACAAAAATATTTGGATTATCAATTCAATCAACGCGGGTTCTTCCCTTTCGTCCGAATCACTGAAATTTACATTTCTAAGACCATGGAAAATTACGAAGTTCACTGTGAGATATGGGAGTTCTGGACCCTATTTTCTAGTAGAACGTCCTATCCATCGTGATTCAGATGAAACTCTACATCTACTATTCTATATTAACTTGGCTAAATTTCAAAGGATAAATTGGATGTTTCAATTTTAACTGTTTGTTGTGTCACCATTTGCCAAAAATAATTTACAGGACTGGGTTTCTGATAAAAGACGGGACCATCAGATGAGCATAAATGGGGTATATAAAAAAACCAAGACCACTATCTAAGACAAAGAAGTTGGCTGATGACGACGATTACTTACAGCAACTTCATGCAAAATGACACGAATAAAATTACCAACACTAACTACTTCAAGTAAAAAAACTACTTGATATTTAACAATAACCTAAGTTTTAAAGAGGTAACGAATGAAGGGAGTAGAAAAAACCTTGAACTTTTGAAGTGAGTACATGCACTAAACCTTGACCTTTTCATAACTTATTTAGATATACTTATGGTGTTCCAACAACAATAATGACAACAACAGTATTCATTCGACTAACCATGGTATCTGCACCATACCATCGGGTACCAAAACTTTAGAGCCTTCCCAGAAGCAGTCTGCTGGAGTAATGACGACACAGGGAATGAGCCGAGCCAGGAGAGACTCAAACTTATGCAATCCTACCGTCCGTGGAAGTTCTGCACGCTGACAGAGGTCCTCTAATCGCCACACTGATGAACCCACCTTCACCTCCAGCCTGTGGATTTTCACTAAGAGATCCATGTGGTCACGAAAAGCTTCTGGTGTAAGAATGTTGTGTGATGATGACACTTGCAAAACAGATTCCATAGAACCCATAAACTCGCTTCCTGGAAGGCCGCCCAGCAAAGAGGAATGAGAGTTTGAAAGTTTGGATGGTCGGAGGTAGGGATCTCCCCACGAAGGAATTTGGGGGTAAAGACTACCCATGAGCGGGGGAAACTGCTGGTACGCATCACCCGAGCGAAGAGAATCTGCCAAATAGTTGAGCTCAGCAGATAAGCGACTGCTTTCTATCAAGGTAAATTGAGAAAAAGCGATAAGCACGATATGAAAGTTGTGATAAAAATCGAAAAAAGAACCACTACTGTCACTTTCGCACATCATGAAGAAGCACATCAAATGCTCACTTATGCCGGTGCTTGAGTTGCAAACAGAGACCATAGGTGGATTGCAAGTCGAACTTGCCAATACTGACTGATCGAACCATTTAGTAAATCAGCTAATTGATGTATACTAATGGAAACCAATAGGACAAACGACACCTCAAAATACACACGAAAATGTGGGAATGCACACAACTTTCCAGGACTTTAATGTATCATTCGATACCATATCCAAATAGCATGATTCGGCTATCGAATAAAAAAACAAGCGGCTTATATAGACTACGACTAAGTACTTCCACTTGGAATGACGTACCAGCAACCCACAGCTGATAAAAGTCCGTTTCTGTTTTGGCAAATTTAAGTCCTAAGCACAGAAGAACAAGTAGGAGAAGGACACAGAAGACCTTCCAGTGATGAATGTGAAGGAAAGTCTCCAATGCGGCTAACTTGTGATACCACCAAAGTTGAAGAGAAGAGCAGCGGGATTGAGGAAGATGGAACTAAATATTTTTTTATATATTTAATAGCAACGAACCCACCTTTTCGGACTGGTTGGGGAGGTCTCCCTCCATGCCTCTTTGTATGGACATTATGCAAATGCTACATTTCTTCAAGACTAGGTCAATAAATTCAACCAAGGAGAACACTAAAAAACCAATCAGATTGAATAATACATCTAAGCAAACATCATAACATTACAACTGAGGTTTAGAGTACGATTTAAAAAAAACTCAAAGACTTGACAAATTAATGTTATGTGTACCATCATGAAAACAGAACAATAAAAAGAGGAGAGGAAATGCAATTACTACAGTTGAAGGACCAAGCAAAATAGAGAGCACAAAACTGATTATTGAAAACGCCAGGACTTATATGTAGAACACGTCTAGAACATCAATTGAATAGCGCATTCTTTGTGGTGGCCAAATCTGGTTAATTCGATAAATTCACGGCTCCGTTGCAAAATCACGTAGACACATAATACATGACTTTGTTACCACTGTACTTACATATAAATAAAACAAAAATTGAAAAGCAAAAATACAAGAAAGAAATTTGTGGCCAGGAAAGCGGCCGAAAAGAAAAAAAGGTCAAGAAACAGCTCAACCAAACACAGCCCCCAAGGGCACTCATACAATTTGCAGCGAGGTTTATATACAAATTTGCGCTTGAATGCATAAATGCGATAATGGTGCATTAGAACAATAAAAATTACAGAAAATAATATTAACATCTTAGTTTAAAAAGCATATTTATACAATATTCTTTAAATTTGAAAACAAGATATTCACCAAAAAAAGCATATTAACATGTTATGATCTGTCACATTTGTCGAGATGGAAAGCACTAAGATAATAATTTACTAATTAAACATAGCATAACTATAATTTTTAAGAGAAACACATTTAACATCAGTACATTACTTCTATGCATGTGTATCGAAAACGAGTAGATGGTAATAAATAATAACCACATGACCGAATCGATTGAATGTTAATCAGACGTTAAGTACTTTTATTTAAATCTTAGGAGAATATGCTCATACGATGGTTTTACAATTGCCTACTAAAAAAACCTTGAAAAAAAATACGAGTGGATGCAGGGTTATAACCTTCACAAATTCAAAGAAAATATAAAATGATTTCGGCACGTTGCTTTCGCGTGATTTTACAGGATACGTTTTTAAAAATATGCAAGAATACTAATTCTACAAGTAAAATATCACAGCCTATCTTATAAGCAGATATGTTAGTCTGTGTCAATAATGCGAAAACTTGATTAATTTCTTTTCTATCAATAACTTATTCCGACATGTGTGATAATGCACAAAGTAAAATTGTCGGGTATGAAACTCAATTTAAGCATAAGCTTGTCTTCTTACAATCTGAACTAAACAATCTTATAACAGACTAGGCCAGTATGCTTGCTTACCATGAGACAAAACACCGGCGGAAATGTATTGCCTTTACTTTTCGGTACTTTATGAAAAAAATGTTCTCATCTAAACACTGAAATTTTTCAGAAAATTTTTTTTGCATGCTGAATGACAATGCTAGAATTCTCTTTTATCAAACAAATCAGGTTATCAACTTTCTGCTTTAAATGATTTTCAAACCGTCGAAATTAAATGCTTTTTTCAACCATAATTAGACAGAAAGGCAAATCATTTAAAGTTAGTACTACACGGATCGCAACCATTAAGTCAAAACATCACTAAATGTATATATTTACTGACTTAGAAGTACAGGACAATATCAGCATGTATTCAAAATTGTTTCTTATTCTTATAACTAAAATCACGCAGAAAGGTAATTTTGAAGGCATGGCTGTGGCCATCATGTCCAAATTATGACAGTGTGAAATTGTTCAATTTTACTACGACCTTTAGTTATTTGGCCACTTTCCAATTATTGGTATTTTATTATTTTGATTAATAAAATGGACTTTTCATTTTATTTGCAAAAGTGTACAAGAATTAGATTTAGTTTTGCTGCAAATCATATCTTTTGTATTACTAAAAGTGACCATTTTTCAAAGTAAAAATATTGTTTAAACTACTCTAAGTACTATTGACCGACCGGCCAGAAACCGGTGGATCTTTAGAGGAACGGTCCTGATGTCGATTCTTAGAATCATTTGTGTTCTTTCATTTATATTTACGAAGTCGTTAACTCTAGGTGAGCTAAATGTAAGATTTAATTCGTTTGTAGAACTTTTGGTGTACACTGTTGCAACAGACGACAATGATGCTCTGCAAAGGTTTGAACGTTCTGCGGAATTGTTTGGATTCCGCGTAAAGGTTGTTTAATAATAATTGTTTACAATTAGCAGATACTCGGAGCTGGTGAACCCTGGCTTGGTGGGGATGTTGCAAATTATCCTGGTGGGGGACAAAAAGTGCGGTTTTTGAAAGAGGCATTGGAACCCATTTCTAGTGATACAGATTCTCTCGTACTTTTTTTAGACAGGTTTGTCTATTTTCAAATTTTCGTTAGCCTATATAGTCATGAACAATGCTTACTATTATTGAGTAGTATTACCTGGATCTGTAAAAGTTAATTTTACTAAAATCACAAGTCTCTTAATTTATTTGGAAATTGATCCATAGTTTCTGGTATAAAGTTTAAGTCTTGGTTACTTACAAGGTATAGAATCTGAAAAGGGTAGCTTCATTTTGAAACTTCGTAAAATTCTTGACATGGCCAGTATAGTTTCCATTACTTGCAAGCTCAATTTCTTCATGTAACCTATATTTTATTGCTTATGCAGCTATAACCTTGGAGTGTAGGCCCTGAATGCTGTTGCTGAGTTTTAAACAGAAATTTGACACTTACTATAAGGATTCTGGGGAACCTCAATCTGGATGTTCGGTTTAAAAAATCCAACCTTTTACCGGACGACCATGTCATTCCCATGGATGTCAACGTCCCCTGTGGAAACATTGTATTAGATGCTTATGATTTATTTATTACTTATTTTGCCTATTTTTAACTTTTTTTGAAGCTATGATGTTGTCTTTATGAATTCGGCAGAGAGTTTTATTCGAAAGTACGAATCTCTTGAGCACAGGGTTATTTTTTCTGCCGAAAAATATTGCTGGCCCAAGCCCTCCCTTGAAGTAAGTTGCGACCTGTTATCTGTCTTTAAAATGCCACTCAATATTTTTTTAACATTTATTAACTTTACCTTAAGTCGCAATATCCTTCTGTTGGCGAAAACGAGAGCCGATTTTTAAACTCTGGGTCATTTGTTGGACCAGCAGCGGATATTCACCGCATAATCAGTTACAGTCCAATTGATAATGAAGATGACGACCAGTTATACTACACGAACATTTTTCTCGATCCACAACTTCGTGTAAGTTACAAGACATTACGCCTCGTATGGAACATGTATGTTTATCTAGAAAAAATCTAAACCACGTAATTACCCAAACTCTGGTATGAAGTATGAACCAAAATGCGCAACAAAAACTGTAAACTGATTAACACTGTTTTTGGATTTTGAAATGCTAGGATGGTGAGCTACACTATCATGAATTCGCTTCTAGCTTCTACTGGTGCTTAGAGTCTTAAATTCTATCACAAGAAAAATGCAGGTGCTTCTAATGTTATTTTTTAATCTTCACCACTACACCTATGGTGTCACTCTAGATACCGATGTGATGTCCCTCATTGTAAAAATTTGTTGATTATGTTTCAGTCGACCGCCGTTTGGGTTAAATTATCTATTTTGACTTGTATTGAAGTACGTGATACTTCTCCTTGTCAATGTGATCTGATTGTTGCTCCATCAAATTTGATTTCGCATTTCAGGAAATAATGACAGATGTTCAGTAAATTACATTACTGCATTGCCAATTATTTATTTGTTAGTGCAATTGCACATTTTATTCATCTGATTAGACTTTGGGATCACTGAACTTGGACCGTGGAATATGCACTTATTTAGAGAAGGGTTCCTCTCCTCTTGCAGCCATTCTTAGAGTTTTAATTTGAAGTAACAATGTTTAAACAATTGCCTTTCCAGTATGTATATGAATGGGACACCCTCTGAAATCTGTAGAGACGTCGAGGTCTGCGATCCTCTTTATTTTTCAAGTCGGAAATCAATCCGTTAAATCTTAGTCACTGTTCACATGAACTCTTTCACCCATTGCATTGAAACGCTGTCTGGTAAAGGTGTTCATCACACAGACACGCAGATTTTTGTTTGCAATTAAATAGGTTTCCTGATTTATGTAACCCCCCACGTTTTAAATTGATGGCATTACCCGTGTGTGAAAAACTCCGTCGATCTGATGAGTCCCAGGATCGAACTCTGAGTGATGTAATTCCAAAAGATTAATATGCCTCACCGTGTCCGTTAAGGCTTTTTTGATTCGGGAATGCCTCATCTCTAAAGCAAAGCCTCATTTCAAAGTATTTGATTTTTCGTTAAATAGCGCGAATTCGATATCGCCCTGGACACACGATCGGAGCTTTTTCAAAATCTCAATGGAGCCCTTGGTAAATCGTGCAAAACGCCCAATTTTCAAATTCTTGTTCATCATCCGCATGTTGAGCCTGTTTTGCATGATCGTAGCTGTTGACATCTTCTAGATGGTGTGGCAAAGCAGATTTATCCCCGGTAGCATCGTGATCTATTCTTCCTAGGCGAATTTCACAATATTCATATAGCGTGAATTCGATGAATTCAAACGAGGCTGCTTATGGGCATTTTTTCACACAATTGAATGACTTTTGCTGCGGAGTGACAAATGCGCTCGCGCCTGCAATCTAAATTGCATGGCTAGCCAATGCCGTAAACAGGGATTTCAGAAACGTTGAGTCTGTCTAATGTATTTTCTGACATTGCCATTTCAGAGGACGTGAGAATCGAATATAACAACGAAACGGGGTACCTTGTGAACGCCCTCACTGGCAGCCGACCCGTTGTTGCCCACGGAAACGGACCCATTAAGGTGAAACTAGGTTATTTCCCTTGGCTGTTTTTTCAGGTCTGTGGTTCTTGTGCCATTATTCAAAGCGAAATCGAGTATTGTCAAAATACAGATTTACGTCATCTTGACAGTTCAATTCTGAGGGCTGATAATAAAGAAGAATACAATTTTAAAATACCTATGCCATCGTTCTTGCATTAAAAAGACCCTCTGCGTGTATCCGAAACTTTGCCAAACAAATACAAAAGGTGGTGAAAACACAGTTAATAAAAGAAGTCGCACTTACGCGTAACCTTAGTAATTCCACCTTTATGATTCCTGTTAGTCTAATACAAACGTCCGTTTATCCTTTGGTCATTTGGGTTCATGAATAGAAGCACTATGACGCTGCAGCAGAATACGTTGATGGCAATTAGTGTCATCAGTCTTGTAGACAGTGATTTCTTTGTCTCCATGTCCGCAAAAATGCACAGTTTCTCATTCAAATTAGTCGCTTTGTGCCACAACTAGAGGTGTGGCTGTAGTGGATCTTCTTCTGCATGAATTTGATTTGCTTGCCTCGAATACAATGTCATTAATAACGTAACTGGTATACTGCTAATCAGATAAAACCTGTTATTTAATTCTATCAGGTCAAATTCAACTCTTTGACAAATTACCTCGCACGAACGTGGTCACCAGCAATGGGCTGTCTTTACTGTCAGGAGGATAACATCGATCTGGACCACCTCTCAGTGAGTCTCAGTGGCTGTTTTTTGTTTGTACCTGGGCTCTCTCACCGATACTTCTGCTTTTCTTCTTAGTTGGATGCCTATCCTGCAGTTCAAATTTCTGCTTTCGTCACAGCTCCAACTCCCTTCGTGGAAGACTTCTTCACAGATATTTATAACCTGCATTATCCCAAAAGTAGGATTTATCTAACCCTTTATTGCAACGTAAGTCTAACGCCAACACTTAATGTCAACTGTAAATGGGGAATTCGGTTTAACGAAATTCGCCAGGGATTCATAATTTAGCGTCATCTATTCGGTTTTAGGTTGAAGAACACTATGCTGCCCTGCTAGAATTCAATGTTACACGAGCCTACGAATACAAGTCTTCACTTATTATTGACGAAAAGGTTTATAAAACGGATATGGCAGCGAGGAATCGAGCTTGGTGAGTTTCTTGGTTTTACAAAACACGTTGCTGTCTCTTCGCTACAGGTGCTAGTGTCCATTTCCGACCATAAACCTGATCGTCAAAACCCATTGTTCTCTGCCAAAGGTTTTTATGTAAATACTATTCTTACAATTCGCAGTGTCATTATTTAAAAAGGAAGTTGGAAACATCCACAGAATTGCTGAGCAAATAGTTCGTAGCATTAAATTGCTCGAGGCTTCTTCGGCGATCTGTAGCGCGGACGATAGTAATAAGTAGAATTTTAGTTCTTCACAAAGACTAATTTTAGCTGATGATTCGTTCGTGACGATCATGGGTTATATTACTCGGTAATAGCACCAAAAGCATTTGGAGCTTACACCAGTTAAGAATATTTACCGTGTTTCAGGCATTGTAGCAAATCGAATGTCAAACATTTTCTAGGTCTTTCTGCCTTGGACATGAGGATTGTGCCTTCGTGCTAACTATAGACTCGATGGCGCGACTTACGAATCCAGGCACACTTAATCATTTAGTGCGTATGAATCGCAATGTTATCGCCCCGTTGCTCACTCGAGTTGGAAAGCTATGGTCCAACTTCTGGGGAGCACTTAATCGTGATGGCTACTACGCAAGATCATCGGACTACGTAGATATCGTTAACAGGAAACAGAAGTGAGTCTGATTTACTCAGTACCCTGCACCAAATGCAGGTGGTCGTGACCACTTTAACCAACACATACTAGCCATCCGCAAATCCCATTCGGGTTTGGGCTATTGGGCTCTACCCCAGACAAATTCCCTAACTCGCTCCTCATTTTGTAGAGGCATATGGAACGTGCCGTTTGTAAGTAACTGCTACATGTTTTCTCGCTGGACGGCACGTCAGCTAGTCGACCGTTTACCACAAGACGATTCTTTCGCTGATAAAACTCTCTCAGCTCTGATTCGCGAGAAGGTAAGTGGTACCACTTTTAACAGCCATTGTTATGCTAATCAAGCATTAATCATACTACTTTGGTCACATTTTAGAATATTTTTCTCTTCATTGATAACCAAGAATATTTTGGTCACCTTATCAATCCGGATACTTACAGCCTGAAACATTTGTATGACGATTTGTGGCAGATATTCAATAATCCTACGGTAAGGCCACTTGGATTTATTAGGGGAACAGACATGGACTTGTCAATTTTATTCCTATCGATTTAAAAAAGTGTGATTCAAATTTAATGGCGATTTGTTAGTGCTGCTATTTCGCAAGATATTTTAAATATGTCATCTGATTGGGAAAAAAGGGGTGTATGAGGAACCGAAAAACCCAAATGTGTCCAAAATCAAATGGCAAGAGAAGTGTTATGCCGGAGTAGGGGCATGAGGTTAGCCATGCACGTGTTCATTGTTCCAAGACTGTTTCACCAGATCGGATCACCCAACGACACTCAAAACATGTTAAACACTACGTTTTTTGTCTGTCAAAATTGACTCCAATCCTCGATTTTTCACAAGCTTTCTCCCCACAATTGACGGTGAGACTCTGGTGAAGTTTTCATGGCACTGGTCACTGTGAGTGTAGAACATCCCGTTCGTCTTGGTACCTGGCATGATCCACAATTCTTTTGTGTGATTGACATAACGCCTCTGTTTGCACCGTCCCAACCTCGTAGTCTTGTTCAGCGATTATATCTTAGCTTTCGCTCCATTAAATTTTGCTGTAACAGAGTAAGAATGGTAGGGCCTACACAAGCTTTTTCCCCGCATTCTGAATCGAAACCATGTTTGGCTGAAACTGTGTTAATCCCACTGCAGTAAATACCAAACGGCTAAACACGAGGCAGGCTTTGTGCAGCGCGAAGCACGCAGATGAATCGCGCCGCACGTGACTGCCACGTCGCGTTTCCCACTCGGTTGTGTGCGTGCGTGCGTGCCTGGTCGCGGGCGCCCGCACGCCAGTCGCTCCCAGCACCACCAAATGCCCTCTTGTGTGTGCCTGCAAAATGGCATCTAGGAGAGAAAAAGGTGAAACTCGAAATAAACAGGTGTGGCATCATGTGCGGTGCCAAAAATTTAGCACAAATCAGATTACAAAATTTGAGTGATTGTCACAAATTGGTAGTTTAACCCCACGACCCATTGCCACAGTTAGCAACTTTCGAGATGCAATTTTTAAGGCCCCATGCGGCATCTTTTTGTTTTCACGAGGAAACAGCAAATTCATTTATTTTTACTGCGAACGAGACTAGTGCGAATGCGTGTCCAAGCGTCAGTTAATTCTAGAGTCCTAAACGAATTTCAGGAATGGGAAAGACGGTACATCCACCCCAAATATTCAGAATATGTCAACCGCTCTCTGGAAGAATTTGAGCAGCCATGCCCAGACGTCTTCTGGTTTCCGCTCCTCTCAGCCCAGTTCTGTAAGGAGATTATTGAGGAGTTGGAACTTGCTGGGCAGTGGTCAACGGGCAGCAATATCGATCCGCGTTTGGAAGGGGGCTACGAAAATGTGCCAACAGTCGATACACATCTGAAGCAGATTGACTGGGATGATCACTGGCTCCATATTTTGTCCACCTACGTACGCCCCATTCAAATGAGAGCCTTTGAGGGTTATACTGACATGGTGAGTCGCCTTTCATTTAAATATATCTTCTTGTGAAACCAAAACAGTAATTGGTTTCTATGCACAGAGGATCTCAAATAAGTGGCTATTCATTCTACTGGTAGCTGAGACATGCTATGGGGTATTTAAAAAGGTCTGGTGAACAGCGTTTTAACAAATTGTTCGATTCAATGTAGGCACTGGTGTTGTGATTTTGGAGCACATATGTGTTTCCTTTTGGCGACTCATGACACCATATTAAAGGAAGCCTTATTTTGGTGAATCGATTGCACATAAATTTGTATCGGTCTAATGTCAAATACAATAAAGCAATCAATTGCCCTGCCTTTAGCCTACCGCTCAAATGAACTTCGTCGTTCGATACAAACCCAACGAACAACCTAGTCTGCGTCCGCATCACGACGCCTCTACGTACACCCTCAATATCGCTCTCAATCGTCCGGGTTTCGATTACCAGGTGAGTAGGCTGACTCTTTTTCCTCAACCCCCGGTTTTTCTTTTCAATTGGGAAACCTGGTGAGCTCTGTAGTCACCTCCTAGATCACTTGTAATGACTTTGGGTCCGGTTAATCTAGGTCATACTTCCTGGTGGCACAATCAGCACGAACCGCGACTCATGCAAAGTGGCGGGTTGGATTTAGGCAAAGGAAATTTCAATCATTAACGCATCAAAATTAGGATGTACTGTTATTGTGAAAGTAAGAAACTAAAAAAATCCATCACCCATAGAAGTTCCTTCGAATTTAATTCATCATACTGCGTGTGAATACAAATGAGACTTAATTAGAAGTAAAGAAGCACGTGCGTTTCTACCTGAGGGGCTTCGCTTTCGTCAGTTGTAATTTCATGATCTGTAATGGTCTGTCACCCATAAGTTGAAGACCTTGTGATGTTAACACTTGGGCATTTTCTGCTTCCGTGCTTGGCTTGGTAGAAGATGCGGTATTGTGGTCCGGTCCCCTCGTGGACCAAAAGCCATGCGAGAGTGATAAAACAGTCTGCAGATTATCATTACAAACGGTGATCTACGAAGTTGACTTTTAAGTATAAATGCGGCATCAAGACCTCACTTTCTGTGTAATCAACAAATAATTTAGAACTGATTTCGCTATGAATTAACCTGATGGGGTGCTCCTCACATTTGTCAATGTTTTGTCAAGGATCCCCTGACCCGCTCATTTCTGCTATGCCTGCGCTGCATATCTAAAGTCTGTCCTTCGAATAGCCTGTCACCAATACGATTCAAAACGCTTTATTTAATTATGTTACTTACAAATTGGGCTTTGATCTTGAGTTGACATGACCTTGATCTTGGTTGTATTGGTGTCAAATGGCCCTTTAATGACGCCTTTTCCAGTCACAATCTCCACACAGGACTTCTTCACCTGCCGGACATCCCGCATAAAATTTAAAGAAACTGGGTCGTTGCTTCCTAGCTTAGAAATTATCTGCATTGGGGAGCCTTGAATTTGTTGCCTGATGTTACTTTAAATGCATCATACTAGATCTGTTTTTTATCTTTAATTTAGGGTGGTGGCGCTCGTTTTCTTCGCTACAATTGCTCAGTCGTGAAGTCACGTGTGGGCTGGGCACTCATGCATCCGGGGCGTCTAACTCATCTCCATGAGGGACTGAGAACTACCCATGGGACCCGCTACATTCTCATCAGCTTCGTCAACCCTTAGTACCCTACCCCAATCTCTCTTGCCTTGTTAATCAACAATATAAATGTGTAAAAGTTTCTTTTTTATTCCTCAGCTGGATATTTTGTGGCGGCAAGGAGAGTAAAACCCTACTTGGCGCAAAATTGCAGATGCTCCCGAAACATATCCGCTCCCACTTGTAGGAAATTTTTGCGTAAATTCTGGGAGAAGGGTAGTGTCCCGGTTTCCTCCCTTGTATGGCGCCCAGGCCTACAGGCAGAACAACCAAAATACCGTCGACGGCTGTCGAACAGATTATATTTTCAGTTTACAATACTCCTTAGGGCTCCTACATCTGCTAAGCTTAAGTTGTGAGTGTGACATATTCACGATATGAAAACAACATATTCCATGATCTCTGGCATTGGTTAGCACCCGTTAAATACGTGTTTGCTTTGATCGGCGCCGGTTGTAATCAGTGACGCAGTTGAGCTGATCTATCCTTTTAAATGGTTGTGGAAAATGACCCATGGAAGCGTAATCGTGTCAACATGTAAAACAAAACCCCCCTAATGGTGGGAACAGACTGGCGTGCTTGAGCTAGTGCAAGACCCTAATCCCTTATTCTACCTTGGGTTTCACTAAACAGGAAAGTTAATGCGCTTCGGTTGACAGCAGAGTCAATGTGAGCGATCTCGAATAATTCGACAGGCGGTAAAATTAGAGATGATTCATTTGGCTCATTCATGGTGATAAAATAACAAGTGGGTTTTGAGTGCATGGTAAATTAAAGCTTTAAACGACTTTCACTATTTAGAGGCAGGGCATCGTTTCCGCAGCAAAATATTTGATAGGAAGATAAGTAAACAGTGGAATTCACTGAAAAGGTGACACTTTTAAATAATAATCGAAAAACAAATTTGTTGAAATGGTGAAAACCACCTCAAGTTGTGAAGAAAGATATAACGAATCCAACCGTTTATCATACCAATTAAGTTGACTTTATGCACGTTCACTCATCTATATATTCACAGAACCCTCAACAACTACAAGATGTTATTAATAGTTAGAAGATATTCAATAATGAAGAAAACGAATTAAAATTCTGCGTGTGGCACAGTTGCCAGGAAAGGGGCCACTGAACCCAGGTTCTTTCGAACTGTTTGTTACATCGTTGGAAGGCACAATATGCTCAGCTAGTGTGCCTCATCACTCATTTCCCTAACCACAGCAGGTCACACGTATTAGCTACATCACATTCCTAATTCTGCAATTTATCCCTTACTTGATTGGCGTGTCAAGTGTTTAAGTTGAGTCGGTTGCAAATCACCTAGACATTTTTCGCATTTTAATTTGGCTGGTGCGTCAACACAGAGGAGTGCTCCCTTTGGGGTGACATTGCGAGAAGCCTTCTGTGTGCATGGTTTGCGAAGGATTCAACAACAACTTGCTCCAACAGTGGTTGCAGCAGAAAAAATTCGTGTGGTGCACCGTGCGCAGCTGACCGCTTGACCTGCATTCGGGATAGTCGGCTGTGGGGTTGGTGATCCACTTGCCACGTGGCAGCATCCCGACCGCTCTGATTGGTTGTCATGCGAGTGCAACGGACCAGGGCTCCTTCCGGCAGTTTGGAGGCTCGGTGGCAGTCGTGTGAGGTCACGCGAGATGCCACGTTGGCAACCACGTAATTCACATCCACGATGTTCCCTTCACCTCGAAATTACACGTGTGATGAAGTGTGTCTTTTCATGAGTATACTAGGTTTATGAGGGATTCTGTTCGCAGTAATGGGTTGCCTTGTCTACTTCAGCAAATCCATCTGTAGCATCAACCCGGTGTCTATCTGCACAATCGTCAAACGCAGGAAAGCGCCACTTTACTGAGGTCGCATGCCTAAGGCCCTGAGTAACGGGGCAGATTGCGATTGCCTTTGATTCTATCCGTGTTCAATTGGTTTGAAGTATGCATGATTTCCTGAAACTGTGAGTCGCTGGCCTTGGTGACATGAGCAGACAACATGCAGGTACACAACAACGAGACGGTTTGCTCTTCTTGTGTGGATAGTTGAATGTGTGTACTTGTGTATTCCAAAAAGCCAGAAATAGAAATCACGAGAGCATGCAAGTGAGAGGAGGCGGTTTGTCTAGGGGTTAACGAAGGTGACGAAGATGTATCGAATGCCGCTGGTGGTTTCCAGTCCCTCGTGAAGGTGTGTTAGCCGACCGGGGAAGATGAGTGGCCAGCCCACACGGGTTTCCACGAGCTTGCATCCGTAGCGAGGGAAATGCACGCCACCACCCTTGATGGGAGGAAGAGAATCGACTTGACAGTAGTAAGTATTTTTACCATGCTTAAATTTATTATGTCGTTGAACTTATGCAAGTTGTCGTATGGCTTAAGTCATTGTTTTCGCAAATATTATTTCTTGAAAGACCTGTATGGCTCACGAAAGTGCGGTTAACGGGTGTCTTTAGGGTAGCTGCCTGCATCTTGCAGACTGGGTGTCACCCAAATACAACTTATTTACTCGGATAGAGAGTGGTAGTTTCATAAATGACAGTTTTGTCATTCAAGTCTAGAATCAAAGTTAAGGTCATGACCCTCCACGAAGGTTGCTTTTTAGTATGTTTGAGTTTTGGTGGAGTATCAAAACTCTATGTATGCGGTCGTTTGGAATCTTAATGACGATAATCGGGGTATATTGAATAGCTAATCTTTATCCATTTTTTACCTCGTAGTCGACATGTGCTCGGTTAAGAGCCATATCGAGGGTGTAGGTGGAGGCGTCGTGGTGGAAGCGGAGGAACGGCTGTTCTCCGGGCATGTAACGCACGACGAAGTTCATTCTCGCCCATGGCTAGATAGACAAAATAAAACGCACTAGAATTAAAGCACGAACGAAATATACAGCTACGAAGTTATACCCAGGGGAATAGTTTAAGAGATACATATTGCGTTAATCACTGAAGCCAAAAGTTTTCCTTTATCATAGGGTGGCTTCATTTTAATTGGAGTCAATAAAATTGATCTCAGCAAGCGGTGTGGGAAAATTCTTTGCTATTTCGAGAAAAACGCACCTACTTTGCTATCTGGTAAGGATTCATCTTTGATATTTTAAGCTTATGTTAAATATACCACTCATTTAAATCCAGATGGATATATTAATTTTTATTCAAAGCTAAACCACAAAGCCCCCGGGACCATCAATCACGACCGAAGAGCATTTATCACTTTGATTTTCGTTGAAAAATATAACTAAGCATTATTTTTTTAAAGAAAATTAGGCGAGCTATTTGATAGATTATGGTGATACGTCCATTTTACATGGATTCGGTAACAGCAACTCGGTTTGATTTGTGATTCACGACATGACAAACTTTTAGAAAAAATGATCCATTTAAGCGACCGAAGACTGAGCTCAGACCTGTTGGACAGGAGCTGGGTCGTTGATTCGGATCTGTAAAAAGAACTGGTTATTGTGTGCCGACCCCACAAGCACCAAAACTACTTGAAACATTGGACGTTCCATACAACTTAACGTCATTTTATAACATAATAATGGAGAGGAATTTCGTTCCGACTGTCTCAGTTTTCATCACCATGTCAAAAATTGAGTCCAGTAAAAGATTAACCTGGAATGTATTTCTCTTCAAATGATTAGGCCTGCCGTTTACAGCAACAGAAACGATGTTGCGAGTGCTGAAGTTCGCCGTCATATGCGACCGAAAGCGAATGCGCATGATTCAATTAAACTCGACATTAACGGTTGGCGCATTTGTCGAACAATGCAAAACTAATATCTATCATAATTTTAATCGGAACTGTGTAGGCCAAAAATTGATGTGCTCAAACTTTGGCCTGTAAGTTTTGAACTCTCTTCACCAAATATAAATTCATATTGAGAAAACCCAAATGATGTGAACCATTTACGAAAATCGCTTTTATGAATTCAATATTCAGAACGAAATTAACAATTCATGCAATTAGAAATCATAATTTTGTGGCTTAAACGTGACAACGTTTTAGTCCAGTGACGGGACCATGCATTGCATTTTGCGTGTTGGAGTTGTCTTGAGCGGTTATAACGAAACCAACCTTATCACTGTATCCTTCGAATATTTTCAGCTGAATGGGGTACACGTAGGTGCGGAGCACATGGAGCCACTGCTCCTCCCAATCTATCTGCCGCATGTGAATGTCACGGGTTGGGACAGCTTCGTATCCAGTCTCCAGACGAGCGTCATAATTAGAACCATCCGACCACTGACCAAAGTGCTCCATCTCCTCAATCATGTGCCGGCAGAAGGTTTCGGACATCAAGGGCACCCAGAAGACATCTGGACAGGGCTGCTCAAAGTCATCCTTCGTTTTTGACTTGTTAACGAAATTGTGGTAGTCTGGATGGAGGTAGCGCTCCTCCCAATCCTTAAGACACAAGTATCCTGTTTACCATTGCGTAAGGCAGTTTGTAAATTTCTTTCTACGCTCCTAGACCGCGGTCACCAAAAACGTATTCTTCTATCATAGTCCAGTATGAAGGTATTGTTTTAACCAGAAATGCAAATTTTTACTGGCACCGGTTCCTTAAAATGCAATAATACCCAAAACAACGCAAAATGTTACCAAATTATGTGGCAACCTACAAACAAGGCGTTTACCGTGATGCTCCACTGGGAGTTTCACAATGTCGTTTTGCACTCTTGAAACAATTTTAAATCGTATTCACTCTAAACGGCTAAGTATACCTCGTTAGATCATACCTTTGTCATTCCATTCGACCAACTTCTTACAGATTAGAGACGTACAATTGAAATCTCTGTGGGTTAGTCCTGGGTATCCATGTGTGTACTATCAAAATAGATTAACATTACTGAGGAACCTGGTCGTACAGGTCCATAACACCATCCTAAACGCAGCTTCAAAACAGTGTGAATGCGGGAAATCCTGAGACAGGATCGAACATTTCTTTAGATGCTTCGCATTCTTAGATTACCAAATTTTGTGGATTCACAATAATTCGGTTTCACAAAAAGTGCCCAACGTACCAAAGGATTGTCAAAGATTTGCCACATGTCGTTGTGTAGGTGGTTGAGTTTGAAGTTAACGGGATTCGTAAGACGTCCAAACTGAGCGCGATTGTCGACGTACACAAAGATATTCTAAATAAGAAGAGAAATGAGTTTGTGCGGCCTTAAACATAACAGTAGTGAACACTAAAGGATGGTAGACTGACCTTTTTGGCAGTCGTTGAGGCAATAGAAAGGTAGAAAAAGGGTTCCTCAACAAAGTCACTGGCAATTTCTGAGAGCGCCCAACGACTCAGCATGAATGTTGTTCCGACTAACGGAACGTTCCATAGACCACTTCAAAATAAACGCAAATTCGCATTAATTCGCCGTTTTCCTTTTCACATACGTAAGTAATATTTTAAAAATGTCAAGATTCAAAAAAGTGGCACAACTGTCACGTAGTTCGAATTTTCGGACTCAGTTCGAGTGGCTAGATAAAAACCAAATTCATATATTAGAAGTGAATCTAGTACAACCTGACCTTTCTGTTTTAGAAGCAATACTATAGTGTAAGTAAAAAAATAGCTTCAAGATTTTGGGCATTCTTAGAACATGCACCACAAGATTGAAGACTTCAGCTTAAGTCATTGTTATAAATTGTAAATCAGCTTAGCTAAAGTTTCATAAAAACATTCGAGTCAAATTGTAGGATATTTTTAGCTTTTGTTATGACTCTCTCATAAATCGAAGTACTGGGCATCAGCTGCGAAGCCCTGACCACTCTATTATACCCGCTAGTCTGATATCAAATCTTTGTGCCTTCGCAGTGCCGGCTCGAGCGGCAACAGCAGTGCTTAAAGCCTTCTTAGATGCCCATCTTATGATTGCAAGTGCCAAGTATTGTTAGCATAAAATGCCCATGTTTCATTTAGCTTTCCATGCCTTACTGGCTCCTGAGCTAATGTAGTTAAACTCTTGTCGAGGACCACTTTTGCTTCATGAATTGTTGTTTAGGTGACAAATTTTAATGGTACTAGAATTTACACAAGATCGGCCTCCATATTAATGATATTTATTTGTATTGACCACATCTAAGCACTTTACTACAAACACGTAGCTCACAGTTTTCGGCGTTCAACAATGTCGAAGTAGTCATCCGAACGTTTGTATGAACCATCATCAGAGATATCACCCCAGAAAGTTGACCAGAAAGCATTGTGGCGCGTCATCAGGGGAGCCACAACACTACGATTGGCTGATACGAGGTGTTTGAGTGTTCCTGGCCAGGTAAACTGGGCAGTCGCCTCCACGTAAAAGAGACTGTCGCATTCAGACTTTTCAAGGCAAAGTTTTCTAATAATGCAAAAAACAGAGAACATAAAAAAACAATTTTTTTAACAGAGAAATTTAAGGAACATTCACTGGTTCAAACAGACTTACACTGCATGTTGAAAAGCCCTAGCCTGGTCCATGTACTTTTCAGGATCGATTTCTTCCACAGATCTGTAATTCGGCCCCTGCTTCTCGAGAAATTCATTGACAAACATTTGCTGCTCTGGGACCTAGAGTAGAATAAAACGGGAATGTAAATAACCGTACGCGAGCGCATGTGACGCAAAGGGAATAAGCCTTCAAATTACTGCACAATAGGTGGTGAGGTGGATATGGCTTTTTGGGTAATCCAGGGCTGCAAGTCGCTCGAAGAAGGGCTCAAGGAAGGGTGTAGGCCGGACAACGAAAACACTCAGCATCACAGTCGGATAACTGGTGGGCTAAAAAGAAACCACGCTACTTGCAAGAAACGGGTCTAGGGTTGCGATGACATATAAAAATCAACAAACGGTCTTAAAACGAATTAAAATTTGTACAATATATTTGAGTGGTTGGTGGGGAGCAGATTCTTTCATTTTACCTTACTCAAATTGTGAAGTGAGATATACAACTCAGACATGAAAATACTTTATGACTATAGATCCGAGGGGAGAAACTCGATGTCATTAATCTTAATACTTTTATTAAATTGCCACCAGTAATAGTTGCGGACTGAAAAAATGGCCTACAACATAGCAGATAGAATGAGCCGATTTTACTTAAATGCCGAGTAGATGGCATTTAATGGCACATTCGTACCCCAGAACGTGACATCGGCGTCCATTGTAACTCGCGTCCTAGTACTAACTTGATTTGGTTTCTACTGTCATTCAGAAAGTGTGTCTTGAATAAAAACTAAAAGCTATGGTATATTTTCCCCATTTTCTTAGTTTGAAAATTATCAGTAAAAAGCAACATCTAAAATAACGTAAGAGGCAGCAATATTAGGCTGCAGTATATTACATCCATTTTAACAAGGTCCAGTTTTTCCTCCTCACAAATTTGGCAGCCAGTTTCAGGAGACCACGAGCGCGTAAAGTAATTACCAAGAGCGTTCAGTCTTCTCTGAAAGGGAAATAAACAGTGAAGTCCTTTTTTACAAAATGCTTGCTGCACTTTAAAATGTTTTCTGTAAATAAGCTTATGGACCTTACAATAAACCAGTGGGTGCCCCCGACGCATTGAAAGTTATTCAGAAATCTGAAAATTGCTTTTCGCACAGTTAGTGTATTTCAATCTGCATTGTAAATGAGACCTTTATATTTGAAAATATCTCCAAACGCGGTCCTATTGCCAGCTATTAGTTCTGGCGACAGGACAAACAAAACTATTCATGGGATTTCCACAATGTTTTGAACACCAAATGTCATAACATTAATAACAGCGATTTAGGTGAGTAAATGGTCAAAAACCGAACATTTCACGCAGATTATGCTGTGTCTTATGTCAAATATCGGTGTTTATATTCCCTGCATTTACTCGGCTTGCCACGATTCTTGTTGTAAACAAAAATAGCTACTTGTGCGCCATGATGCCACGTCACCCATTCTCCCAAATGTACAGGAGGTGCATTTGCCACGTTGGTAATTCGTGGCCTCCTGCCACTGCAACCGTGGGCGAGTCAGCTGGTTGGCTAGGGCCCCAACTACTAGACCCTGAGGTTCGAATAAGCCCACATTTTGGTAATTTTTATATAAACAATACCAGAGGCCAGTCAGTGGTTTCCTGAGGATATAAACTCAGTTTAGGTTGGAGATTTCAGACCACTTGTGTACTTTGTAGCCGGTACACTGATGTTGCGAATATGAGAACGGCTTACCTTTGCTTCGGCATCCTTCAGAGTAACAGCAACTACGGGAACGGTGTCTGTTTGAACATTCTGCAAATAGCCACGGTCGTGCTCGAAACGTATGTTTAGGTTATCTACAAGGAGATGCTGATGATAATGCTATTGCTATTGCTGAATTTAAAAATTTTCATGAACTATAAGGTTTTGTTATGGGGCTCAAGAATGTAGAGGGCGGAGTTGTAAATTGAGTCTGCAGCTTAAAACGAGTGCATTAAAAAATTTTCATCAGCAGTTAACTTTCAAATGTTTAATGACCAAGGAAAGTGACAAGTACACGCACCTGTATCCTTTGAGATTTGCTGGAAGAAGCTAGAGGAGGTGTCCATCAACACTGATGATTGCTGCTGAAAGACAATGGGAGGCAAGTTATGCACGAACATGCGCTCATGTTGGCACTCAGAATCCTACGGCTCCCAAACATACCCTTTTAAGACCCTCCAAAAAGGTCAAAACGTAGTCCTTGTTGAGCACAGGCGGTGGTTTGGGAATGGCCTCATTGAGAAATTTAGTTCGTGTAAAGAGGCCATGGAACAAAGAGTCTGGTGTGGGCTCATCATTTTCATTTTTCGCAATCTGTAATGGGCCCAAATCAGTAACAATACTGACGACCTTTTAAAAAGCTTTCACTACAATCAATTGCTTTCGGTTATGAAAAATTACTGCATAAAACTTAATTAATCTCATACAAGCAAACGAAAACCATTATTTTGAAACTTAGGATTCATTTGTCTCTCTAGTGAAGGGCTCCTGGGATTAGCCCTTCTGTAGTTTTCTGCAAAATGTGATACATTGCTGGAAATCAAGAACACCTCGTAATTGTGCATTTTTGTAATGGAAAAGAGCATCTCATTTCACAGATGCATGTAAAACTAAGTTTCATACCTGGAGATTATAGTGCTGATGATTAGGTTTAAGGCGAAAACTCCGAAGAGTTGGGAAGAATAACCTTAACATCATTTATGTGTCTTACTCTGTACTACCATAGGACACAGATGTAGATAACATCTAGGCAATACGTTTATTTAAAAGTAATGCAATAAATCAATGTATATCCTAAAGATGGCGATACAGGGCTTTCTTTACAGCAGACTCAGCCGAAAAATTAAGGTCAAAGAAGAGTGAGCCTGCACAACGACCAGAGGATTATCATACCTCAAGCCACTGCCATCAATTCAAGCCATAGAACACGTCAGAAAATAGCCAAATTTAAGTAGAGAGGGCGTTGTGTTTCATCGCGCCCACGTACGAACCTACGTCTTTATTGGGACCGAGCAAATAGCTCTTTTGATCCAATAACCACCTTATCACATGTTTGTAAGTGTGCAGGACTCTAAGTGGAAACATTTCATAAGACTTGAACTCTTTTGATCAATTAAGAGTTCAGTTCTGCTCAAACTAATCCACTAAGCCATCAGGTAGAATAACTTTTCATAGTGACTAATGGGATTTAAATGGTACTAGTAAAAATGGAACATCTTAAAAGAAAAATTGCGGCAAACGCACATCAAAACTCCATTGATTTAGTGGTGTCTAGGCATAAGATGTCTGCAAACAGCTCGTGAAAGTCATTTATAAGCGAGTTGCTATAAGGATCAACTTTTTCGATGAATGCTCAGTATTTCATGAACAATCTTCAACCAATGACTCATTGAATATTATGGACAGTTTTCATCGTTGTACACAACGTAGCTTTTAAAATGAAAGATGATAAGTTAATTCAGAGGACAAATGAATACACGTATCCAGACCACTTTTGACAATAATACCATCTTCTGGGTGCTGATAGTTATTTTCTATTCCGTGCATAATGTGCCACTGAGTAGCTAACTAAAAACTGGGTTTAACACAGCTCAAATCAGTACTTTCTGTTGGTTAAATATGGAGTTTGTGCAATGAGGGCTTGATTTGTAATGCCGATAATATGGGTCTCTACAGCGTCCCCAGCGCTTTCCATTCACATCACGAGACTTCTACCTCACGACTTAGTTTACCAATAAAATTGCTTAAGTTCCTGCTAGACTTGAAACTAATCCCATGAGAAAAACGAATACTGTTAATCAATAATACGTTCTTCATTGTTTACTCCAACTGTCTCCAATGTTTTACGAGCCATTAAAATCCTCTTTTTTAAACGCCGTGTTTTTTCCCAATAAGTTGTGGCTTGATATAATATCTTTTTGGCGTCTTTCATGAAACCAGCAATGTTGCCACTCAAATTGCATCCAAGAG